TCTTAACAAAAAATCTTAATGTTACTCAGGCTACCAGTCGTTATTCTGCAGAAATTTCAACAACTTTCTTATCACTGGCACAACCACAATTTCTCAACCACGGATAGCCCAGAACTTTTTTATTTGTATCCACTAACAATGAAACAAAGTAGAAAAGCAAGTCCACTTTATTTATTTTATATTTTGGTATCGCTCGTAAATTTGGCATATTGATTTGCAAGTTAACCGATACCCGCAATAAATTCAACGGAACTTACCGTGGATCATGAGCAGGATAGTGTGTTAGCAGTGTTCTGTCTGAGCGGAGACTGCCACAAACCACTAGACGCGTTAGCATCTAATAGAATGTGCACTAGACTGCAATGCTGGTAGTGAATGGGCCACTTTACTCTGCATTCAGTGAATGTTGTGTTGGGTTAAAAAAAATAAAAAGTATTCGATGTTGAAAAAACATCGATGTTTTTAAGCAATGCATCGCAAAATATCGAAAAGATCGATGTATTTTCTAAGTAAGTGAACACGGCTAGTAGCACATAGGAGATACTACGTGACTAGTAGTGCATAGAGGTGGGCGTGTAAGCGAAAAGTTTGCTTTTTAAAATAAGCACGCATAGGCACGCTTTTCATTTTAAGCGTTTTAGCGTTCGTCTCTGGTCAGTTATATACTCAAAAATTTAATTTTTTACAACGTGCTTAAGTTTTAAGTAGCGACATCTATGTTTCCTAAACAAATTAATTCAACATAACGTTGCGTAACGTTGCATAAACGTTTTTCTAAACGACTTTTTAAGCTTCAAACTAAAAAGCGTTTAAGTGAAAGCTTTTACAAGTACAAGTAAGTTTTAACATTAAAAAAATAAGCAGTTTTTTCCATGTCAATAATTTTTAACGCTTTGAAACGCCAATGAATAAAATGTTAACATAATAACGCTGTGAAACCATTTTTCCGGATTTAAATCGCGTATATTTGTTTTTTCAAACAAACTGACGTTTCAGGCCCTTTACAGGTCCCATGGTCACGGTTGACTGAGGTGGTACAGTCTTCAACCAGTTATGTCTAATATTGATGCAAACCATCCTATTTTTTCACTATAGTTACAATAGTTATTAATTAAATACCTTATTTTTATAATTATTAATACAAAGCTCGAATACTCAGAAAAAATTCCTTCGATCCGGTCGGATTCGAACCGACGTCTTCTTGCATACCGTGCCAGACGCTATACCAACTAAGCCACGGAACGAACCAACGGACCTCACAAATTTTTCTGTGTGCTTGCGTCGTGTCTTTGTACTTGGTCTTTCAACGACTTTTTAGTCGTAGCGCCATCTATGAGAAATCTATTGCAGATTTATCACCCAGTTAGTACCTTTACAGCTACCAATGCTGGCGAGGGATGTCGCTATTCACTACTGTATTAATTAATTAATCTGGCACGGTATGCAAGAAGACGTCGGTTCGAATCCGACCGGATCGAAGGAATTTTTTCTGAGTGTTCGATCTTTGTATTAATAATTATAACAAACTAGTGGAGTAATTTCACAAAAAATAATTGAATATCAACCTTATTTTTAATTTTACAAAGAAAACATTCCAATTAACGCTATATTAAGTTTTACAAATTATTTTATTGAATGAATTTTTATTAAGTTCAATTTATTATTAATTATTAATAGAAATTAGAATAAACTAAAACATATTAATTAGTACTGCAGTCTTATGTCTGTTTGGGATTTTTCATTAGAGGAAATCCTGGATCCCAAACTGGTGGTACGGAGAAACCATCTTCCCTGTTGAAATTGGGATGTTTTTTAATTTCAATGGCCTCTCGCAGCATCCTGGGTAGATAACGGACATCTTTTGAAAGGACCTGGGGTTTGTCAAACTTCATTGAATGTGTAGGTTTATCCATGACATGCTCGCAGACTGCAGACTTGTTTACGCGACGGTGTTTGACATCAGCTATATCGCACCCTTAGTAATATAAGGGCACAATCCAAAAAAAGTAGATTTTTGGAAAATCGCGTATTAAGATTCTGGATTCCTACATTACACCTATTTTTTCAAATAACATGCTTATGCCATATAGTACAAAAAATATAACAGAAATATGCAGTTATTTAAGTTTGATCCCATTTATTATTTAAGTCCCTATCAATTCCCAAATATCCCAAAAATCTACTTTTTTTGGATTGTGCCCTTATATTACTAAGGGTGCGATATGTTCTTTGACGCGGGTAAAAATACTTCGCTTTGTTTGTCCAATATAAGAGAGACCGCACTCACAGTCAAGCTTGTAAATTCCTGCATCCTGTAAGGGGATGTTACATTTCACGAGTCTCAGAAACTGAGAAATCTTCCTCAGGGGCTTGAAATAGGTCTTGATAGATGCGCGCCTGAGGACTCTTCCGATCTTGTCTGTAACACCTCTCACGTAAGGTAAGATGGCAGGTCTTCGCTCGACTGTTGGTGGTTTCATTTAAATCCGGAAAAATAGTTTCATTTCCTATGTGTAACAATCGCGAAAACCTAAGAACTCGATATAATAACGTTGTGTTATAAATAAAAATAAAACTCATTTTTTACCAATAAATTTACTTTTTTTAAAACGGTTAGTGGTCTAATCTTGCTTTTCGCTATCAACACAACGTTGCAAGTGTTTTTAACATAAAAGTCTATGCGCTTAAACGTTTTTCTGAACGGTTTTGTTACTAATCTAAAAAGCGTTTGAGTGAAAAAGCGTTTAAAAAAAAGCACGCTTTTTTTAAAAAAGCGTAACGTTTAAACGTTTAAAAAAATAAGCAGTGTTCCCATCTCTAGTCGTGCATGGTACATTTTTATTGGTTTTTACGGCTTTGGGTACTTCCCATTTTGAGCCAATCGTCAAAATGATCACAAATTCACAAATTATAAAACGAAAATATTACAGATAAAACGAAAACGTTTTCAATTTCGTGTTATAAGGGTCGTATTCCCTGAACTCTACTCAATGCTCAAGTCAGGGTTTGAGCAGACTTGAGTATGATTTTAAGCACTGGAAATACGATCCTAATGGCAAGGACTTGAGTATGATTTCGAGTGCTTTAAACCATACTCAAATCCTGACTTGAGCATTAAGTAGACTTCTAGTGCTTAGAGGATGGAAAAAAAATAAAGGAAACTAATCTTAATGATAGTAATGATCGCACGTTTCTTGGAACATCACTACACTGTCATCCATCACAAAGGTCCTGTATTATTTATTAGTGTTACTGCTTAAATAATAATTTGCTACCAAAACCACAAATACTACACTACTATTGATAAAATCTTTGATAGCGATTTAACAAATGATGCAGAGTTAAATAATTTACCTTATTCGAATTCAAGGGATTTAACTATATACGGATCTCATTCTTCTGTTTTTATCAGGACTATAGCATGCGCTATGAATCATTATCTTTTCTTGTATATCAGTAGCCATTTTTCGGCTGGTGCTGGCATATTTAAATCTCCAATTGAATTAAAGTGACTAACGCTTGTAGCACCTTAAGACTAAAATGTCTCACATGTATATTCTCTATAAAGCGAAGTTAAGTAAAGCTTGACTACGAAAATACCTTGAATACATAAACTTGACTTGCAAGAGAGTTAATGGGGCTAACCACCACAATGAGATCGGTTCTGGTCTAATTATTCAGGTCATACTGAAGGTGAAGCGCCCAATTTTAATATCTCAAATACTCATGCTATTGGCAATATCAAGTAACTGCGTTAACCTGTATTAACGTTAATTAAATAAATAAATAAATAAATAAATAAATGTAGTAGTATAACAATGAAACATGTAATTTCTAATTGAGATTTGTAATCTTTTGTTAGCTTATTAAATATAAGAATGTAATATTAAGACGTAATTAAGGAGAACGTGCAGCACCCGGACAAACCAATGTAGGTTTAAGGGTGTGATGTATATATATTTTTGTAATATTCTTAGTGTTTAAAATAAATAAATAAATAAATAAATAAATAAAACCGATTGTTGATGGTCACTGACTATTGATCCAGACAGACTCTGCATCTCTGTAATCTCCGACCTGGGAATACCGTGACTGACGAAATCCGTAGGGATACCAAGCAAGTATGAATACGTCATATGAGTCAGCAGGCAAGAATGAGATATCGCACGCAACTTGTGACAATATATCAGTCTTTCATAAGATTTGTCATGACTGTCCATATATTTGAACCACAGACCACATAAATTCTTCCGTGATCTGAACAGACTCTAGATTTATCTGTCAGTGCACAAACATCAGAAAACAATCTGTTTCGTCTCAAAATCTTCCAGTGGAACGCCTACATCATAACCCCTACCATTACACCTACATGATTTAAGATAGATTATTTACGGCCATTGACTTACAATTTACGGCGTAATTTTCGAGTAGTGTGCTATAATTTTCGTGGTCACAGAAATTTCAAAGGCAGAATTCTGCGATAAGTTAGATAGTTGGATTTCAACAGTTCATATATAATTTTACTTCCTCAGTTCTGTCAGCTTCACTTTCATCTTGAGGTTAAGGAATTTTATTTACTTATTTCTTTGGAAAAAAGTAGTAAATAAATTTCGCCACTACAACTATACAGGAATAATATTATTTCTACCATTTTTACCAAACAATTAAAATTTGGGAACACTTTTGTCTATAGTTTGACGGTTTCATTCCATTCCACATAGACTTTCTTGAAGGTATTTTAATTTTTTGCGTTTCTTTAAATATTACAGAAGAATATTAAAGTTTACGGAGTTGATTTAGTTTAGTGTAGTTTAAATTATAGAAATTACATTATTTTTCATCTTGAATTGATTTAAAGGAAAAAAAAATGTTTATATGGAATTAGCATCATAAAATGGAATGCTTAGAGAATCCATAGAGAAAACGATAAAAAAAGAAAAAGACCACAGACAAACTACTAGTGCATTTCGTCGAGTCTGCCATGTTTTGTCTTATTTGTCGCGTTTGATCAACGCGTTCGCGATTATCGTTCTAAACTGCAATTTTCTAAACGCATTGCGGGCTGTGTTAGTGTATAAATAGTGTAGTTATTGGTGTTATAATAATGCTTGTGGAACTTTGAGTCAAGGAATTTGCTTTTGATGCTTGTGTTAGCGACTGGTGTAAATTCGCTTTTCATCAGAATTTTGGAATCATTTACTAGTTCACCTTATCTGTTCAATAATTTCCGTCGAAATTTAAACATTTGCTGTTATACGCTCCAGTGATTTCATAATATTTTGTCGATTGTGTGACGCAACCCACGTGCACAATACATCGCGCATCTCATGCACATTTGTTATTATTTTGTCGGTGAGTCCGCAAAGCAGCCAGTGCACTGTAGAGGATAAGTCGCGTCGCTCGTGTCGCTCGCGCCTCGTTAGAATTTGTCGGGTGATGAAAGAGTGATCGCTGTTGGTTGTGCATCGGGTGCGCGAGGATTGCGCTCTTGTGTGGCTCGGTGCAGTGGCAGCGCACACGTGACCCGGGACGAGTGTTTGGGTGTCAGTTGGCTGCGGTTCGCGAGCGCACGCAAACAGTCCGCCTGCAGTGCGGAGCGCGGCGGGCGTCAGAGGTGAATCACCGCTGGGTGCCGTGTCGGTCGTGTTTACCCGCGAGTGCATCGAATAAGTGCGGAAGTGCATAAGGCATGTGCGGTGCGCCTCGCTGATGAGACCGCGGCGGCGGCGTTTGAGCGCGAGTGAGTGAGTTATGTCTCTTGGGTTATGAGTGTGTGACAAAGTTGTAGTGCTGAGGACACTGGAGCCCCTAGACGGAGTTGGGCCCGCCGGGGCGGCCCTGGTGCTTCTCGGGGCTCCGCACGAAGGCAAAATGGCAGCGTGGAACCGCCACCACCATTTTAGTATGCTCGTGGATGAAAATGCCAAAAACAAATGTAAGTAGTTTCTTTCACCTACCCTCCTTTTTTTAAATATTATACCTACCACATTTGTTTGTAGCACCTCACCCACAATAATACATGTAATGTTGAAAATAATTTAAAAAATATAAATGCCAGGTGGCAAAATTCTTCAATAGAAGCCAGAAACATAAAAATAGAATAGAAAAGTTCTAATATATATATATATATATATATATACACACACACACACACACACACACGCACACATAAACTTATATTTATATGTATATATGTTATATTTACTTACAAGTTTTGCAATTTTAATTCACGGTTATTCTATTGGGTTTTCATCATTGTCAACATGTTTCAACAAATTATACCTACAGCTACTATATGTTCAAAGTCGTTTCTGATGTTACAGTTTATTTGAACTTGCAATGGCTTTCAATGGGGTATTTTAATTTAATAAGCTTTAAAATAACTAAATTTATTGCGTATTACCCATTTTCAACTTTTAAATCAAGGATTGATTTACAAGAAATAAAAAATGTAGTCTGCCAGTGTTCCTTTTATGTCAATAAAAATAGTCTGTCATACTCACATGTAGACAATCCATCCTCAATTCAAGAATTTAAGTGATTTAATTATTCCTTATCATTCCCTTGCAGCAGTTTTATTAAGACAGAGATAGTAAATTTGTTTAACAACTTGTTCGTCTCGTCACTTGATATTATAAATAAAAATATGTTTGCGCGTGTAAATGAATGTTTTCAAAATTACTTTTTGCTCTACATCCAAGTACTAAATGAATACATGTATAGTACGCACAAGGCTAATACTCCAGCTGGGCTGGAGCGGACATGGCGTGATGTCGTCTTCACACAACAGAAGGCATAAGCTTCAGACTTCTCCTTCCACTGAACTGTCCAAAATCGCGTCTATGTATGGTGGCCTGATGGTGGAAAAATGTCTTTGATCCTATGTAGTCCTAGTATTATAATTTATGAATAAGTACCTATAAACCCCTATATGCTAATTTTTAGTGTTGTTTTTTGACCGCCATTTTGAATTCGATATGTGGATTTTTTTACACTTAAAGTCATTTTATTTCCCTAGTCATTTGTGACATTTCTGTGTGTACACCTAACCTATAGGGATTTGTAATTTGTATGACAGTTGTCTTGTTTATTTCAAATTTGAACATTTGAATATTTTTTGTTAAATACCAATTTACCAATTTCAACCAGACTATATTTTGTTTACAAGAAAATCTGGTTGATTAAAATAAATAATTTTGTAACCAGTTTAGGTAACAAACATAATTGAACTTATGAAGTAACACTATCCCTGGGATACTTTACATAGGCATAAGACAATTTTCCATCCTATCACTTCCTTTGCAACTGCAAGGTTACCAGGGGTGCACATTGTTGAATGCACACTCTCTGTCCACCTTAATGTGTATTGGCTAACATCCCTTTGACCTGATTTTCCCTCTTTATAGGCCACAGCTGGATAATTTGCCTAACCAGTTAGAATGGTGAGGCATAATTCATGTACTTCTCTTGTAGCCCTAAACATGTGTATGTACATATATATTTATAATATAATATATTTGGGAAAACAACCTTTACTTTGAAAAAAATAGTTTGAACTACATGACGTACAAAAATTATTTGATTTTGTAGGAATACGTAATTGTATTTTAAATTAAAAATGAAGCTACCCAAACAAATGAAAAAGAGTAATCGGCGCTGCTACCGTACCGTAAAGCGAAGATTGCTTTATGACATAATTTGTCGGTTTACTTTGGGGCAAATTATGTTCGGCTCATATAGCCTCGACCCTAAAACTGTTTAACGCGCGCCGACCTCCCTAACCTTTAACCTAATTCTTCCAACCCTCACAGATGGCCGCTTGCATTGACGCTTTTATTAGATAACATGAGTTTTATGTCCAACAAAGAGCCTGACTATATTCAATTGGGATACAATGCTTACTGACTGTTCCGTAGTTTGTTCGAAATTCTCGGAATAAAATGAACATGAAAATGCACAGCATTATAGCAGTAGGATGCGAATACAGAAGTATAGCGAAAGGTAACTTTCACATGATTTTAAATGAATACTGACCGGTCTTCCTTACAAACTGTCTGCTTTATGTTGTTCGCAAGAAAATTTTGTAGATTGAAGCTGTTTTTATTCATTCCTTCTAAGAGAAAGCATGGCGAACGTTTCTTTGAAAAAATGCTATTAAACTTAAACAACGGTAATCGTTTTTGTGTATGAAAGTAAAATGACGTGTGTCGCGCCTCTAAGAACAGCTGCTCGAAAAGGCGGTTAACCTAGTGATCCGTTCACATGACACCCAGTGAACTCCAGCAAAACCTATATTTTTATTCAATTTCTCGGAGTCTCGGCCCGCACCTCCCACGCTCTTGGCATCTACCGGCGATCGTTGCATTCGACTTGATCTAAATAACACAAAGATAATGCTTTTAATACCCAGTTTCTGGGAATATCAGGGCAGTCTCTGTCGACACTGTATTTACACTTAATTGCCTACCTATTTAATTATGTGTCAGATTCGGTTTCTTTCAAGTAAATTATTCCATATATTTTTCTTTTAGTGAACACAATCAGCTTGGTCTTCCAGATATGTTTCAATGCGGAAAAACATTTACAACAACAACTGGGAATTTACCAAAGACTAATTGTACCACTGTATCCATAAGGATAAAAACCAAGTAAAAGGAAAAAGATAAAGGAAATTATTAATATATATATATACACAAACACTGACCATGTATTGTAAGGTTACATTTTTAGAGAAGGAGCTGTTGACAGAACTATAGTATGTAAAGCTATTAATTCGTAAAGCTATTGTAAGAAGACCGAAGTACCAAATAAATGGGCCGCAACTCCGAGGCATGCCGGAACTGAGTCGCATTTTTGCGATCAACTTTCATTCACCGTCTGAAAGCTGTTGCTACGCGGATGCCTTGCCGTAGCGGCGCTGTGCTGTCATTAAAACCAAACGTTCGCGCACCGGCGACCGTCATCGTCATGTAGATTATATCTTGCAGTTTGGAAAGTGCACCTCTTGTTTATTCTGCATTATTTAGGATTTTTTCAAAATCTATATATGTATATACTTCGTCATAGCAGCATTATACAGTGTAAATTGTGGTACTGTTTATTCAGTATAATGTCGTCGTAAAAGACAATTGTTCTTCTCAGTATAAAAAAAATCTAAAAGAGAACATGAGTTTAAGTTTTGTGCGTAGTCGTTTCAACATATTTTAAGAACCCGAAATTGGTTGCAGTCCGTAAAATCGAAACATTTCAAGCGGTAAACGCTGACAGCTTCTTGCATGATAACACTGTTATACCGACAAACGCATGCCTCCAGCAGCGTCGCTAATTTACCGATAACCAGTTACCCCATGTCTCGGAGAAGTCGGGCTTGCCGGCCGGTGAATGGTCAACCTTTCTCCGACACACAGTCTAGACGGTTCGTTGCGACCCTTGAATGAAATTCACATCGGAATGCGGAACGGCGATTTATCGGACCCCACCAAAATTGTCGGTAGGCATTGTGCGGGTGAAATTGTCTCTTTTAATTAGAAACTTCGCATTCGCGAGCTATGAAGGAACTCAGTTCCGCGACAAATGCCTCTTGACATTAAACTAAATTTATTTTTTCTAATTACTTAGTGAGAATTCACCTCATTATACGGTAGACGTACCTTTGTACACGGCCAAACATTTCGTACATTGTGTTATCGATACGTCATCAAAATTTCTAGAACAAAGTAGGTGCGCTAATATAATTTATTTTCATTTCCACACGTAATAAATATTCCAAGAACTCTTAGCCAATAATGACAGTCAATACTCGGGGTGGGTGTAAAATGTGTGGGTTTTGATGTGGGCATTGGACCCAAACTTAGTACCTATCTTATGCAAACGGCTAATATTTCTATGACCGGTCTGCGCGACCCATTATTTCTGTGACCGCGCTCTCATTGCGCACAGACGATTTGCATTTTAATTGAATTAGGTCTCGCTAACACATCACATTTTGTCTTTTGTCGTTCTAATAACAATAAGCATGGTAAACTCGGAATTGTTGCGTATCATTATGATTTATAGCAATTTTGTTTAGCATAACTGTCCATTTCAATTGAATAGTTCAAGCCTCATAGTAAGACATGATTACGTTACATCAAGTCCTAATTAACTAGACTGATGCAACCAAGTTGTTATAAAGATCGTACACAAAATAGTTAATCAAATTCACAGACAACGATTGTTGAAAATAGTTAACCCTAAAACGCCCCCCGTGTCATCGTCCGGCGACGGAGGTTTTTGCGAGTCACAACGGTGTGTTATTGTAATCATAATTGAATGAGTAAGAAAAGTTACACAGTATTAACGGTAAGTAAATGGATGTATGACGTAGCCTCTTAGAAAGTAGACGATGGACCGCCATCGATTTAGGTGACTAATATGGGTCACGGCGGAGTAGTTTCTGTTCACTAAGTTATCATATCCGCATTTTTATCAGAATTAATTTACGTTCCAGATTCCTAATTGCAAAACAACGATTTTGTCACCACGTACAGTGAAGACGTCTTATAAGCGGTTTTGGTCGCACAATGTATTTGATAAAGAACTATAGGTACCAATAAGAGCCGTATAGAAGGTAGAGGGGCCTCAACAAGGAAGAAGTGGTCAAAATATAACATTTTGGCGTGGCGCATCCCAGCGGGCCTCAGGGCGTCGATGACCGCCAGTTTTTGCACGCCAGCCACAACCGCCTTCGCAATCTAGAGCGTGCAGCCTCGTTCTCATCTCTCGTTTGCGAACGAGGTTGTAACTCTATTGTGTACGTCATGTTCATATTTGTTTATTATCCCTAAGGGTTATTGCTCCTCTTTCAGTCCGAAACCATAAGTACTTATTTAGTTTTACGATATTTTTTTGTTTTAGGTCTTGATTTGGAACATAGCATCGTATCTTTTTGTAAAC